CAAATGTTAAAACATGAATCGAACAAGTACCTCAATCGATTCAAAGTCCTCATCTTGATTAGGAAGTTGAAGAGTTACCAGACCCCCGGCTTGTCTGCTTTTACCCCGTCCACTGGCTTTACGCAGAATGCTTACAGTATATGAGAGATTCCTTCCTTCAGTGGTTACTTTATTGAACTTTGGTGCTTCCCACCCTGACCTTTGACACAACTGATGGAGAAATGCCTTTGGGATCTTTTGCGCCTCCCCCTGTAAATTTTTATATGTTAAAGAGAGGCGCGAACAAAAGAAGCTGCCCAGTAATATAGCTGACACTAGAGCAAACCAAGAGAAAAAGAGAGCAGCGCGGGGAAAAAGACTAAGCTTATACATTGTAGTCAGAGAAGGAAATTCCATGTCTATTAAGTATAGGTAGAACTCATTTTACTGGATCGCAATGTCAGCATATGTGACAAAATAAAAATTAAGAAGAAGGCATATGCGTGATAAAAGAATTTAACACCTTTTACTTGTAATAGTATTTTAAAATCTAAATTATAATTAGCCTAGAACCTTGTTTGATGAAGAGTTACCTTCTTCCAAATACCCTCTAGTTTCCCAAGATTTTTCTCACTGCGTAATTCTCTCAACTTTTCCTTCTTCTGCAATTCGAGGAGTTCATGGGGCGAAGCTTCAGAAGGCGGGAAATTTTCTACGAACATATCACCAAGCTCCACGCCCACTGAACTATCATCCGAATCCGATGCAGCTAATTCTTGTCCCAGGGAACTTGAGGGAAGAGTTTTAGGTTGAATTTCCTCAGATCCACAGCTCCCAGCAGGATTTGCATCCACGGGCATGTCATCTAATGGCTGAATACAGACAGCATCGGCATTTACTGACTCATGAATACCATCGGGAATGGGAGAGGTTAATTCTTTTTCTATAGCATCTTCAAAAGCATGTTCACGCTGAAATTCAGATTCCAACATTGCTTCTGATAGTCCTGCAAAACAAACACATATAACTCATGACATGCTGCACCAATTCAATTGATTGACAGATTGTTTACTAAAAGATTAAACTTAACCAAGAGCAGAAATCTCTTGCTTGAGCTTGCGAATGGCTAGGCCTGCTTGTTCCTGTCCTTTTTTATCACGCTTCTCCTTTGCTTTTATAGCATCTGATCTTGCCGAATAATATTCTTTGATAATCACATCGTACGGCCTCGGACCGGATACCTAGAATGATTTGTGAAAGCGAGATATTAGAACAGAGAAAGACATAAAAAACAGGAAGACGAGATCAAAATGGTGTTGCAAAACTAAATGATTGAAGTCTGTCGTCTAACATGATCATCATAAACAAATGAAGAAAGGTTCCACTTCTTCTACCAATTGGGAAAGAAATATACTGATAGCAGCTTGCCACCACTAGAGCCACAAACACCACAGAAAATGACTGAAATAGCTTAATAAGCTTATGCCATGACAGATTATTTAATAAGCTTAATCCGTGTAAGACTATATTCAGCAAAGAACAATACATGATCCAAATTCAACAGCTTCCAGATATTCATAGTTCCATGAAGGTTCTATAATACTAAAAGGACAAGGGAATATTTATCCTCGAGTAAGATGCATGAAAAGATGACATGCAAGAAAACAGCGAAAGTATAAGCACATCAATATCATGACGGAACTGGTCTAACTAAGTAGTCTACAATATTCCGTTTCGTTGCCATAATTGAAAGAAGCCTGGAAAACATTTGAATTACCTCCCTGCTGGAGCCAACACCATCTACCTCATCTTCCCAAGACTCCCATTCCTCCTGAAAATTAAGCCAATGAGAAAATTCATCTGTGAATTAATTATTATTTTGTTTTGCGCCTTCAGATTATTTTTGTGAGTAGAACTATCATGTATTGAGCTTTTGGGAAAATGGTTGAAGCATTCTAATGGGTACCTCTTCCTGTCTTTTCATATACTGACGGATCCAATCGGCTTGAGATGACTGGCCAGAACTAAGAGTATCTTCATCTTGCTTTGCCTTCACATTAACCAAAACTTCAGATACCTCCTGCTTTAGCTGGACTGAAGAGTCAGAGAAATCGTTCCAATCTTCCCGTGAAGTCAATATCACACCTACAGAACCACCTGCAACCAGCAATAGGAAGGTACAAGCATCAATGCAAAAATTCCCCCAGAATATTACAGCCTTAAAAGGTGTTCATGGAGGGTGATTTTATTCCATACCTCCTGCAGGAAAGCGGGAAGCTCCAGTAGAAAACTTCACTGGCAACTCATGACTCGGCAAATTCAAGCAGAGCCAATCAAGAGCAGACTCAAACGTAGCTCCATCCTTAACGAAACATACACATCACTATCAGGCATTGTATTCGG